GTTTTGCTAACATCGAAATCACTGACAGGTTATTCATTTTCACATCTTATAGATAGTCTAGTTTTGAAATAGTTCACTCGCGTTCCTTATCTTATTTTATCTTCTTCGTTATTTACACAAAATATCGATTCTGTAAGGTGTAAAATTATTGATCACTTAATGAATAACCAAATTCATACTCTTATTCCGAGTAATCATTAAATTTTTATTGATCAAGTTGCGATTCGCTGAGTGATCTACCTAACTTAACATCTAACTACATAATTTTAGGTTAGGTGATTAAAAGGCAGAGACAAAGTGTATTTGCGGTCGATTGTAACTTACAAGAAACTTAAACTATACTTTATTCCGACTGTTATCACCAAACCATTTTATTACATTGTGACTTATTGTGATTTATGATTTCTCTCACTTATCCTACTTAAAATAAAAGTCACGCTTCAATCAACTTAGTGCCTATCAACAGTCAGTCATTTATAGATTACAAAATAAAATAGCGTTACGTAATACAAAATTGTTACATTTGATCAGATTTCTGTATGCTTGTTCTTTTATATTGCCTATTAAAAAGCAAACAATAATACACATCCGCCAACGTACACGCATATTTTTAAAAGGACTGAGTAAATAAAAATCAAATAATAATCCACAGGCGAAAACCGCCTTCTTATCCTGTTTTATCAATATTTTGCTTTTGTATTATAATAAAGACTAACTTATTAGTAGTAGTAGCAGTAGTAGTAGTAGTAAATTTTTCCATAAATTAATTTTTATACTTTCGCCATTAGTGGACATTACATAAATGAAACAATTTCCCATTTCTTTCCGACTGCTTGTTTTTTTTTTGTACGGGAAATAAAAGCATTAATATCCCGTAGATATACATTATTAACAAACTATTATTTCTCTATTTCCTATGATTTTATACACTACATTATTTATTATCTAGTTATTTATTTATTTACCCATATATATGTAATATTTTAAAATTATCCCTTTTTTCATGAAAAAGAAAATAAAAATTCAATTTTCCTCAATTCTTCAAAGTCCTAAAACTAGTCTCCTGTTTTAGGGAGAACAAAATAAAAAAAAAGTAAAACATGATATTTCATCAGAAAATTCAATGCGCACTACCATTTAAATTTGTTTATGTTTGTTCATTGACAATAATTAACCATGTTTGCTGTTAGCTAGTTTGTTTGGATTTGTTTTCGTTTTCTATTTGTTGAGAATAACATGTATTTATTGGTATTATTTATTGTGTACTTGTGAACATTGTTTACATATTATGTATGCAAAATTCTTTCATCATAAATCAATTGGATGTTTTAATGTTAATTCATCGTTTTTATGAATTACTTGATAGACTCATCAAGTGAAGTTAATCGATATCAGTGACAACGCTTCATTATCGACTAACCGAGAAATCGTGTTTATTCGTTGGGTTTGATTTGTAATTACTGAATGGTCGTCAGGTTTTCCTCTGTGTTTCAGTATTTACAATTTCGTTGTTTTGCAAGCACTTCCAGGCCATTTCACCGTTCATTTATTAGATATGTACTAAATATTGTAGTGTGGTTTTCAGTCAACCTTTCAATTCAAGTGTGTACACCTATCCTCAGTTGTCTGCTATGTACATGTCAAAAAAATAGCTGAAAAACATAAATCTAGTAAAAATTGTGGCCGAAAATACAATTTCTAATAAAAATTACCCTACCACTCACCAAATGAATTAGAAAATCCTCAAAAGAACTAGATGCATAGAATTATTGAATATTGAAATATTAAGGACAAAACCGTCATTTGTTTAGGGTTGTTTGCCGTGAATTGTATTAAAATTATGATATCTGTGGTTATGCGTTACTATTAACCCATGATCATTTGTAATTTCGGACTGCTATCAAATTCATATCATTCATATTGATTGAACATAGTGAAACTGAACTCTTAAGCTAGTTGAAAATGTATACACACATACATATAAATGTATACTTGTTGATATTGTTAATTAACAAAAAGTGGATTAATATATTTGATTGAATAATAATTTACTCAAGAATTGTATATTTTGTTCTTGATGTTCATCATATTAATTGTTAAAGATGAATGTGAAATTCATAGATGATGGTTCATGTTTTTTTCCTTTTGTTTGTTAACTAATTTCTTTGTCAACAATTACTACAATCTACCTAATTGCATTCTTATATATATATATATATATATATATATATATATATATATATTCACTTTAATTAATATTCACTTATGTATACGGAATTTCAGTGATTAGTTTTTCTTCTTATTGTTATTATTTTTAGAATTCCTTTAGGGATTTAGTTCTGTTAAAGGAGTTTTGTCTTATTGAAAGAAGGAATTTCGAAGGAATTCAGTCCTATTCAAATCAAATTATCTGTAATGTGACTAGTCATGTTAGTTCTATTTACATAGCGTAAAAATTGTCTCATTTTAAAAATTTCACTGATTGAAAGTAATTCACTTTATCATCAACATTGGGTTTGTCTTAAATGGTTACTTTGGATTTTTTTTTCAACAATCTCGAAATGTTTCGAAGAATTATCTTTGAACTCTTACTGTATCTTCGATAATTCTCATAATAATTACCGCCACAACTAGAGGTTATCTCTTTGTTATTTTTAAATGTACTTGCGTTTCTGAAACTACATTTTCGGTCGCCTCTGAAATCTTTCTCACAAAACATATCGGATACTATAGTTAAAAGCTAATTTTGCTATTATATCAAATCTTAATATATTGATCAGAAATAAGTCAGATAATTAAGATTGTAGTTAACTGACTAATGAATGACTTTTAATAGCTTGTTGCATATCAATATATCCATGTCTATTTCTCATTACATGATTTGTAAATAGGTGGGCTTTGTTTTATTGAAAAAACCTATCTCGGTGAGTATTCAATAATTCATTTGATTTCCATCAATATTCATTACTTGATTATCGTTGTATCAATAATGTTCGAATGACTGATATTTTTTTATTCACTAATTGATATCTCATATTATGAACTGAAAGAATCCAGTAATGTTGGTCTGTATCTTGTCATTTCATATATATCGATATTACAATACTGGTTTAATTTGATATAAAGATTGATTTAGTGCACATTGATCCAGATACATTTAGCATCAATGAATTATACACGCTTTAAAGTATATGAAACTTTTTGGAAGTTTTTGTTAATTTACAGAAGTGAATATGTCGATTGGTTTTTATATGCGAAACCCGTTGACCTTGGTTGTGTGAGGGAAATATAAACATTGTGAATTAATGTTAGTGCATAAAATTGTCAGCCATAGTTGAAAATTCTAATCAATTTCTAACATTCCAACTAAATCGATTGTTCACTTACAATTTGGATACTAATAATTGTTTTACTTTCGATCTTTTAACTCTTTGTTTATACCTGTTCACTTGATCTTAATATTGATATCATTAGTTTTACTGTTATACTTGTACCTTACGTCCACCGACCTCATCGAAATATGATAACTTGGTATAGTATATATATTTTAAGGTCAGATCTCATGTTCCTTTTGAAATTTTTGTAGGTGACGCTTCAATCATCCCACCCAATCTATTCTCTGACATCAGCTACAGTAACGCAGATCCACTCACCCCTCGTCTTAATGCTAATTATTTCGCTTGATATTATGCTTTACCTTTTATCCTTCAATTTTATTTGACTGTTTTTTCATTATCACTAGTAATACTATTCTTATTCGTTTACTTTTCACTTCTCTTTGTGTTTCAATAAGCTCTGTGACCATTCAAACCGATTTGTACTTGTATCAGATCCTAAATTGATCATATTTATCCATCTATCGATTTGTCATTTAGTGCATGACACTAGTTATGTAAAGATGATCATTTAATTTATTGTAGTATTATTGATTATATGACGGATGTCTTCTTGTTTTTTTACATATAAACTGAAAATATTAAATTTTGCAAAAAAGTTTCATAACATCTGTCAACAGTTTTTTCTGAGCCTTCACTTGTTGCTTTGTTTCTCGTCTAAAACTGTTGTTTAAAGCAGAAAATCTACTGATTTCCTCATTTTACTTCGTAATTTGCATTTTTTGTTACCATAACTATTATTATTAAACATTTTCTCTTCAGTCTTCTTGTTCAACTTTATCAACTTTACAAGTTTGGTACTTTTACTCTTGACATATCAATCTCATACTATTTCGAAGATGATGGATACAAGTTAAACTGACTAGAATGATGCATGTGTATCTATGCATAAATGAATGATTGATGGGTTATGTGAACATGTTTTTTTTATTGATCCACTTATTTTGAAGAACAATGGATTTTAGGGGAAATAAAAACAGTAGCTAGAAAGAGAAAGTTGCCTCCAGTTAAAAAAGAAACAATTTTTTATCACAATTATAATCATTCCATTTCTTTATTCTGTGTATTCTACTAAAATCAAGTCTTTAATTACTGATTATCGAAAAGAAATTAAACCTTCTAGCACTAGTAATAATGATAATAATAATATTAGAAGTTCAAATGTTCATTTGGATATACTAAATACAGTTGAACTAGAATTTTGCATATGGACGAGCCTGAGAATAGTTAAGTGAACTTTTAAAATGGTAAGTAATGGTTGCCGAGGACGTTTAAGCATCCTGATTTATTTAAGCAACTTTAAAACGACATTATGTTGATTTACCAAGGCTCGATGCTTATGTATCTCCGTTGGACAAATAATATTCAATCAAAATAATACAACCAAAGTCTGAATTTTTAATTAGTCTATCACTTAATCTCGTACATGTTGTCTAATAAAGCATCAAGACCATTTATACTCCTCAATATATTCAGTTGAAATCACTAACAGTTGATCCTTAATTCTTATGAAATATTATTCATCTATAATTTTCCGCTTATAATCGATCATTTCGTTTCACGATGATCACTTCAAGTACCCTCATTCTTTTTCTCTACACCAAGCATCCAGATGCTACAAACAATAATGAGAGTGAAATCGACAATTTCCAGCATACACGTAACAAAGGTTTAAATAAAGATCCTTTTCATCCCGGTGCCCCAGATGTTGAAAATTCACTTCACCAACCAGATGATATTAATGAATTAAATTCCGAAGGACTAGTCCGTATTTCCATCAGACCTGACAGTCATGGAAGATTTGGATTCAACGTGAAAGGTGGAATCGATCATGGAATGCCAATTATTGTTAGTCGTGTTGGTGCTAATATGCCTGCTGATTTATGTATTCCTAGACTTTCAGAAGGTGATCAAATTCTATTTATCAATAACAAAGATGTTACAAACCAGACTCATTTGCAGGTAACATTATACATCATTTTCTTCAGTTTTGGTAATTGAGTTTTCTCCATTGAAAAATAATGTTTTCATCTGGATGTGTCTGTGTTGATACATACAGCATCTTATGGCTTCCACATATTAATAGTCATCACTTTAAAATCTTCATTTTGAATATATAATGTTCAACTAAAGTGGAAAACCTGTGGCTTTACATTACCCTACACAAATGGAAAATGTCATTGTGCCTCATAAAAATATATGGTTAGAAGGAGTCTCTGGGAAACGTAAGAATAAATGCAATACATAGGTGTTAAACAAATCAAACGAATTCTATTGGTGCAGAGAACTAGACGACATACCATTATTTTCTGCATGACTTCGTTCAGACAAAAAAAATCAATTTGAATTGAAACAGATCACTACAACGTCCATGATTATAGATCCATACTATCCAGTAAATATAAATTTTATATACTGAATAGATAGTCGATAATTTCTGCTAATTACTGTCGAACATCTAACGTTCAGTTAATTATTTTATAGTGTAAGATTTTTAAAGCCAAATATTGAATCATGAATTAGATTGATTAATTATAACCAGTAATACCGAATGTGAGATAACACGAAATAGCTTATTTAGAAACTAGTGTTATCACTGCTGTTTAGTGCATCTAATGCTTGTGAAACTAATTTCTTATATAATTTCTAGACTCCTGTTACTCTACTAACATTGTTCTGACGCTGTTGTACTTTTCAGGAGCGATTATTGAAGTCATCTAATAAATATATCTGTGTTGAGGACGTTAGATTCCCAGAACTCACTTGAGAAAGGTCCTAATTTTGGATTTTATGTTTTAGAGCATGGGCTGATCGGCTGACCTTGAGATTACATTTCCCACCCAGAAATCCTTGACTGTCATTGGCTGATGTGTTATTTTAGTGCGCTGTTTCGGTTTCTATCATGTATAAATAAACTTGATTTGTGTGCTTTTCAATCTCATATTTTCTGGGTGCTTGTAGAATACACTTTCTACGTCTTGTCGAAACTTCTCCCTCTGCTTAGTGGGACCTTGAGACACTCGGACTAGATTAACCAATCGTGTCACTGGATCATTTGTCTTCCTTCTCGTCTACCGACTACGGTGAACTGGTAATAGTTCCAAGCATAGCAATTTGAAATATTCGTTTTTGATTTACGAATTATTTCATCAAATGATTAACAAAAAAAAAATCATTGATGATCACTAAATATTCTGAAGAATAATCTACTCCCAGAAATTTCGTGCTTTCTTTTTTTTGGAAAAGTTGTCTTCCTTAAGCTTTCAGCTTCTTTTTCCTTCCTTCATTCTAGATATAATGTCAGATGTTGGCTCAAAATACTTTTTAGAAAAGTATTTAAATGAATTTATCTCTAATAAATTGTCATTTACATTTGTCACTATGTGTTTTAATGATGAACCATTATTGGTTATTATGATGACAGAAGCTAACAGGTACCGATCCGCCTCATTGCCTTCATGAACTATCTACACTTATTTCTGAATTTGATTGTGTGATCAGAAATTTCTTACAGTCTTAGTTTCTCGCTCCATTTTCCTAGTTTGGTTTTATTTCTTACTGTAAATAGTAAATCGGAAGAATTAAACAGAACAAATTTTTGCTAATAAATATCATACAATAAACTTTGCGCTTGCTAGTGATGTAATTTCGTTTAATTTTTAAATTAAATTTGCGAAATATTTTGTTTGTTATTGTTATTATTGTTTTGTTTTTTAACTAAACCTCCTGTCGATTTCATTGTTTTCATCTTTAAACTGGAATTTTAGGTTGTAAAAATGATACGTGCTGCAAGTGAACAACCTTATGGTACACTAGAACTTTTAGTTAAACCAAGTGGTAAGCGTGATTACTTTCTGTTTAACCTTTATATATATATATATATATATATATATATATATATATATATTATATAACTTATAAATCCAATTGAGACCAACAAATCCTGTCCATTTATCTTTGCCTTATGTATGGTTGTCTGAGTATGTACGTATGAAAACAGTTATACAGTTGAAATACCAAGTTAAACTGCTTAAAGTTTATTAATTCTCTTTCTACTATGTCTAACAAGCTTTTAAATATATTCTCTTTTTCACAACAATGTTTGATTATTGGAATTTTCTTGCTCAAGGCAAATCACTAAATAATTTTAAATATTGCAATTAAAATAGCTTTTGTTATTCACCTATTATTATTATTTTCTAAGGTCGACATAGATTGAATGCTATTTTATTATCGATAACCGGAAATTTGAAAACCACTATTGTTCACATCTTCTGGTAATACACGAATCTTTTTTTTTCAATTTTCATTGTTAGCTCTGTTTTCACTAGTCATGTTGTTGTGATGTGCCCCTTGTTTAACAAACCATAAAATATAAATTTGTTCGTTTGTTGGATTTTGACATTGTTTCAATCGTTCACACTTTTTTTTTCTCCCTTTCATCTCTCCACTGTTCTAACAAAGGCATGATAAAAGTATTGGAGATTGTTGAGCAATAGTTTTTTAAAATAAAGATAAAGACTTAATTTTTCTCTTCCGTTTTATTGCCTATTCCACTTAACAGAGACAGTATGTCAATACACACCTACACAGAGTTAGCAAAGCTGTAGAATTAACGCCTTCATGCAAAACTTGTATTATTGTTTTTTTTTAAACTATTAGTGATAACATTATTGTTATTATTATTATTATTATTATTATTATTATTATTATTATTATTATTATGAGTGTGATTAAACAAAATCGAAACAGAAATGTTTCGACAGAACATAATTATTAAAATAATTTACATATAAACTAAACACATTCACATTTTGTTTGAAATTTTCAAATGAATTTTTCAAGTAAATCCATTCAGAAAAAACAACTGTCTAGAATTCAGTTTATCAAGGGGGAGACACCTTTGCAAGGCTGATTTGCTTAGAATGTGTTTTAAGTTAATGCAGAATAAAACAAGAAATTGATGGTTGAATGTAACATTCTGAAATACTAACCTGATGATAAATGTATAACCTTGAAGTTGTTAATCTTTATGTTCAGCCTAAGACTACAATTTGTTTAAGATACTTTGAAGCAACGATACGAGTGGGATGTTTTTCATAATTTAAAATCAGTATTATATTTTTGAATATAGTTTTGATATAGTGGCTAAAGAACAACCGTAATGCAGGTCTACTTATTAACTAGTTTGTGCTGCAGACACACACACACACATCCAATCTGCTCATATTTGTAGTAAATATCATGTAATTACCTCTTTCTAACCTTTGATTTGAATGGAATCAGGTGTAATAGACATTTATCTTATTTCAACAGTCACTCATTTCATGAACTTGCATCGTTTTGTTTCAGCCGAGATTTTTTTCTATTCAATAATCAGTTCAGCTTTATTCACTTCCTCGACGAGCTTTGTTTTGTAGTGTAGGAATAGGTTGGAAGAAAGCTAGGGGCGGCCAAACCAAAACATAGCAGAAATCCATGAAGTCATTGCTGAGTGGACTGAGTCATGTTGGTAGGTGTCGACTACGTGGTTGGGGTCCGCGAGATGATAATAATCAGTGGTTAGATACCTTGAATGACATGGCTCAAAACCGTTTGCAATGGCGCAGGTGCATTTATTCTTTGTGATCTCTCAAATCCTAATCTTCTGGATTCTTCAACCCCTCTAGTTTTGACTTTCTGAACTTTTCTCACTGAATCATACTTCTTGAATAATATCTTCTAATCCTTACCCCTCCGATTACTTCTAATACCTTTACTACCTCTTTTACTATTGGATTTGAATTGACAATGGCGTCTCAGTGCTGATGTGGTATGGCAACGTGAGCTGATGTACTTACGTACGAAGTTCTACGTTGCATCTGACTGGCTGACTCAACGTTATTCATTAAATGTTAGTCATTTTCTTACAATAGCATAGAAATTTTCGTCTTTTTTTTATCCACAATCATACTTAATTCATTAATTTGACAATAAAATAGATTCGATCAGTTGATCAGTTTTTACCATTCAATATATTTAACAACATATATTACGTGTGAATATGCATGTACTGAAGTGTGATAAGCAAACAGTAACAAATTCCAATCAATTAACAAAATAATTCACATTGTTGTGAGTTTTCATAATCGAACAAAAAAAACAAACGCTATACTTTATTTCATACAATATATGTGCACATAGCTAACCAATTCAAATCGATTTTTGTTCATTTTCATCCATACAGATTATGTTACTGATGATGTAAATGATGACAATCCTATCCCAGATTCTGGTGATGCTCCACCAGTTCCACCGAGATCTTATCACTCCTCATCGATTCGTCGACCATCAATTTCTTTAGAGAAATTTGCAAGAAATTCAAAACGTTTAACACGTTTCTCACTTAAATCCTCATCAACATCACATAATCCAATGGATCGAGATCATCCTAATGGTGTATTACATAGATATTCTTTTTCTGGTTCAACATTACTGGATTCAATGATAGAGCTAGAGAATCGTTTAGCTGATGGATCATTGTTAAATCAATTCGAAGTAAGTTTATGGATATTTATCGATTGAATTTTATTTTATCATAGAAATAATTCCATAGTATCATATTGTATCATTATTATTCCATGATTTCTACCTTCTATTGAAATATTTCAGTTAAAATATTAGATAACTTTTTTATAAAGAATCCTCTAATCCAGTCTCAAAGTACATTGATGAAGTTATTAGAGCCCTTCAAACGCATTACTTCATGATTTGTTTCAATTAATCAAGTTATTTTAGCAGTTACTTTTACAATTGTGATTTGAACGGATGTTAAAAATTCAACACAACCGACCATTCTACCAGGAAAAAAGAAAATGTTCAGCCTTAATCCATCTTGCATTTTGTCCCAATCATAATGATAAGAGTAATATTAAACGTTATTTAAGCCGTCCCAAAACTTTGTTACAATAACACATTATAAGGAGCTGATAATGTTAACTTATAAGGTAAGAAAAAGACAGATACAACGCAGAACTTCTTACGTAAGTACATCAGTTCAGGTTGCCATCCCCCATCAGCACAGAGACGCAACTGTCAGTTCAAATCCAAGAGTGATAGTGCTAGTAGAATTATTAGCAGTAATGGAGAAGATTAGGGAGCGAAGATATGATTCGAGAAGTATAATTCAGTGAGATAAATTTAGAAGGAGAAAGATAGAGATTATGAGGAATTCAGAAGTTTAGAATTAGAGAGAACACAAAGAGTGGATGCACCTGCGCCATTGCATACGATTCTGAGCCATGTCATTCAAGGTCTCTAACCATTGGTGACTTTCGTCTCGCGGACCCCAATTAGATATCCTACATCTACCAACATAGACTTAGTCCACTTGTCAGTGACTTCATGAATTTCTGCCATGTTTTGGTCTGGCCGCCCCTAGCTTTCTTCCAACCTACTCCTACACAACAAAACATAAGTCGTCGGGGCAGTCGGTGGTTAGCCATACGTAACACATTTCCCAACCACCTTAACTGATGAAGTTTCACTACTTCATCTATTAATTTGCCATTCCTTAAGGTAGGAAAAAAATTGTTCATGACTAACTATCCAAAGTATATCGCTGCTGAAAAAAGAAATTATCAAATCAAACGAATATCATGTTAAACTTGTAATTGTTAGTTACCTTTTTTTTAAATATTTGATGAATCATCAATAATATTTTATTTAAATAATGCCTACACATTACTAAAGCTTAGATTGTCAATGTAGATAAGAGTAATGTTCAGGAGAGAATGATCTGTTTCTAGTTTCTGCTGAGAAATGAATAATCTACTTGACATTTTTATTGACCTTAAAAATAATGGCTACGTGCCATATTCAATATTTCAAGCAATCAGAAATAACTCACATCAGTTCTTAATAGATAATGACCGAATTTATATGATTCCAGCAGACGATAGAGAGTATTTTTTTCACTTATGAGTGAAAGTAGTTGGATATATCTTCTGTTCAGTTTAATATATTGGGTATTTTCATTTTTCAAACCATTATACCGAGTCGACTAATGATACTTAGAATAAAATTATTCATAAAGAATTCACAGTTTTTAGTAAGCATAATTTGAACAAAAAGTGTACGATAATAAAAATCCATAACCCCTGAAGTGAAATAACTTTTATTATCAAGTTGCAAGAGATTCACAGAAAGTAAGTATGGTGTGTAAGACGTCCTGCTACAGGACTATGTCTCTTATTTTCAGGTTCTACTGGTCTAACAACAGCTTATTTTCGATTAATAGTAGATTTAAAACTGCCATTTGAGTCTATACTGGTATGAAACTTCAATTTATGACTTAATATTGCCATCTCCATAATACTACTTACTTACTTTTCTGCCTCTGTTTTCCTGACTACTAATCAGTCAACTGAATCCAGCACATAATAAAGCATTCCATATTTCTAATACATAATTTAAATAGTGTACATTTTGTGTACTCCGACAACTTTTTCATTCCTAGTACTATAAAACATATATCTTTACAACCTGTTCGACGTAACCGCAATTTGATCTTCCTTAGATTACAGTGCTTCTAAGGTTTGTTTGATTGAATTTACACTTTCCATATGTTGTTTTTTAGCTTTACATAAGAATTAAAAAATTTTGCAATAATTGTTTACTTTTAAATAATATAGCATTTACCTAGAAGAAAATCTGGTCTCACAATGAATGTGTCTCGTTTAAGCGAGAATTCAATCAAAAATCGTTATCGTGATATTTCACCATGTAAGAATATGATTTTTTCTTAAAAATTTTTTTTTTTTGAATTCACTGTCCATGAAATACAAGAATGTTATCTAGTTAAAATGAAAATATTTTATTCCACAAAAACTAAATTATGTAAGTATGCATCAAAGATTATGTGAATATACTTTTTAAACGGCCTTCCTAACCTTCTTTTTTTCTCATTAACTTTACTCATTAATGCGAACGTCGAGTCCTTACTTTTTTTTAACACAAGATTTAATATGCACCTCAAAATCACAAATGGAGTTGCTTACCGTTCGTTAATATCCACAGATGACAGTGTACGATTTCTTTCCAATGTTATATATGACATGATTTCCTGAATATCTTCGTTGAACTGTCACAAAAGTGATCCAGTTGTTTTGACTGATCACTTTACACTTAATACGAGCTGTTTATTGACTTAGGATTATTATAGTTTTATCCAAACAATGTGCAAAATATCTTTTTCACAACCTTTATGCTTAATACGATTAATTTATTCTCATTCATTAAATATTTGGGGGAAATTTCTAATTGAATTTAAATTTTATGCACTTTTCGAAATAGAAAATTCTTTCTAGCTCCTATATCTTTGTATCAAAAAATAAATTATTGAAAATAGACATATATCGATAAATTTTAACAACATAATAACCATAAAAATCTCTGTATAATAATTACTGTTAACAATATTTTTTCTGATATTTCTAAATTTTAATGATAGAATTCTATTATGGTTAAGTAGTGAACAGTGCTTACTTGCTCCTCATTCTGTTAGGATATTCACCAAATATCCTAAAGAAATTATTTTCTAAGTCTAATTCTATTGGTCAGTATTTAGGGTCGTTCTAAACTATCAAGTCCACATACTTTTAAATGTTCTCTCCTATTGATTAGTATTCACGGTCAACTTAATTGTATAAATATGCATTCTCTGTAAAGTTTTATGCTCCTCTTCTTCTTCTTCTGTACAAGACTTCATATTTTCTGGGTGCTTGTAGAATACACCTTCTAATGCATATCAAGACTTTTGATACCGTTAGTGAGGGTTTGGGACGATCGAATTAGCGTAGCCTATCGTGTCACTGGATCATTGTCTTCGCTCTCGTTTACCGACTAAGGTGAACTCGTAATAGTTCACCCATATCGATTGACGAACATGACACATTCATAAATAATTTAAATTTTTTTCTGAAATGACTAGATTTTTCTTCTTAAGTCAACTTTAATACTGAACTTAATCTAGTTGTTTAATTTATAAATAAACGGATCAAATTATTCATTTGTTAATAATCTTAAAAGTTTATGAAATTATGACGAAATCCTTATAAACTACAATTTTTCAGTCCTCTAATATCCTTGCTTTATTTAAATAGATACAGGGTGAAATCTCCAAACTGTTCATTTATTAAATAATTGATATCAAGGTTCTATTTAATTTTAAGGATATATGATTGATTTTCGTTCTGTCTTATTTATCCCTTTAATTGTGATCATCAAAATATGATGAAGGCATTTAGAAATGACAGACAATTTAAAAAAGACAACACTGTAACCCTAACAGCAATTAAACAGAAATATTTTTCCTATAATTTTAAATTCTAACCTTTAATCACATCCTCACAGAAGTCAAGACTGGGTATTTGTGAAACAATTTTCCAACAAGAATGAGAAAGCTGTCAAAATTTCTTCATTGATTTCTCATAGTTTACATCACTAATCGATCTTAGACAACTAGGGAAAATCAAGATGATCTGAACAGTTTTTTCACTTTATTAAGCCCATCACCTTCAAGTCTCGTGCTGAGTACTTAACGTTTAGATTACTAAACCAGAATTCAAAGACTTGCTTGCAAATCGGATAGCAAATTCTTTACCCAATGGGATTTTTATCAAATTTATTTTCAAGTGAACATTAACACTTTAATTCAGCTCACTAGTAAAAATCTAATTTAAAAGAAAATGAAAACTCATTCGTAATAGCTTCCAGTTGAGTAATTTGCATGTGATAATGATTCGATGAAATTTGATCACTTGAATAAATCTCTTTTTATCTGTCATTTGATTTTGTTTGATTTTTTTTCTCCTATTCATTTACCTTCAAACAGATGATCAAACTCGTGTCATATTAAAACAAGGATCTGGAGATTATATCAATGCTAGTTTTGTAAATGTAAGCTTAATTGTTTCAATAAATATTTAGATTAAATCATTGTTGATTTGAGTAAAACGATTTTAGCTCTAAATTTATTTAATCAGAGATACCAAATTATTACTATTATTTGTGGTTTATTTCTTTCCATATTGTTTGAAAATTTAGATTTTAAGCTTTTGATATAAATCCCCTTAGCCTATAAAACACACAGATAAAATAATACTTAAAGTCAATGAAAGCAATACAATTTCCTGTAAACACTAAACCAGTCTTTACTGAGCAAACTATTTCTATGAAAAGAAACACAAAACAGTAAGACAGCATCGTAGAATCATACTGTTGAAGTGTCTCTCACTAGCCTCACACATCTATCCATCTCTCCCTACTTTTTAGTTGCTTAGTCAAAATCATCTCATTGTGTAAACTATGTTTTAGTAATTTTTATGACTATTCTTATTTAGCCAGCAGTTGACGTTTTGTTCACCGTTTACAGAACTAATTACTTGTCTTATTTTTTTTAAGCTATCCAACTTAAAAATATTTAATTAATATCATCTTGTTTAAAATTTAAAATTGTATCTCCTCTCCTGTAAAAAAAATCGTAGACAGTTGTTGCAATTAACATAATTACATCTGTTCATTGCTTTGTTATCAGCCGATCTTTCTCTGCTAATCATAATAATGCATAGTTTTGTTTATTTAAAACTGTATCTCTATCGATTAAAACCATTCATTGACAGAAAGTAACTGAATAATGTTTAGTCATAAAGATTTGTAGAGTGAATGATTAAGTATAAATATGGAGTAATCAGTAAGTCATTGAGCGTAAAATAAGATCCAAACTGCTTATTTTAACTTATTTTAGCTAAACTGTTATTTAAATTACTCCGTGAACTTCAATTTTTACTTCGGTGAAACTGTTATACTCGTCAAATTGATGTGCTTGAAACTATTACGAGTTCACCTTAGTCGATAAACGAGAATGAGACAATGACCCAGTGACATGATCACTTTTTCATCTCATTTGAGAACATCTCTCTTCATGGTTTGATCAAAGAAAATGCATCCTATTGATGTTATCTATTCTTGAAACTCGTATTTTGACGTCATTTGTAAACACTGAATAAGGATTTCGAAAAGTTGGCGCTTGAATACACTTAAGAAATTCTGACGACCTACGATTCGAAGTAAGAACGAGTCTTAGAAAAATCGTGTGTTTGATCATTCTCTTCATCATGATCCTAGCTATGTTGTAATTTTCTCTTACATTTACAAAAATATTTCTGTTTTTCCTGTTAAAAAAAATTCTTTTACCAAGTTGATGGTTTTATGTTTTACTTTGTTCGAAATTTCACACGATCAACTAAAACATACTGTAGTTCCCGTTAGTGTTTCTATTTATTATCCCGATAAGTAGGATAGTTTACTTTTGAAGAATTCTTAGAGTTGAACATGTAAAAAATACCAGCCACACACGTAACTGTTTATCATTGCTAGTTCACTTTCTGACTGGTTCCGGTTACAACAGTCTTGTATAAAGAATATATTTAAAACTTTTTAACATAACCAACGCGAAGCTGATGATTTATATATAATCTCTATCTCAATGTATTGTGTATCAAATGTGTGGTCTCTGTAACCAGAAATATTTTCAATGTTTTTTCTTTTGAAATTTTCCTGAAGAGTACGATATCAATGTATAATCATATGTACTTGAATTTGGTATGGAGTGACGAAATATAGTTGATCAGATTTTTCACGTGTATCAAATAAATCACACATCGTTAATAATTCATCACTTTGATGAAAAATTTGAATATCGATTTTACTGGCTATTAAGTACCTTAATATTGTTCGCATTACGCATATAAACCGAGAATTCTTGACTTCATTTTTAATCTTGATGCATTGAAACTTTATTTTATTTTCAATACTTCGAAAAATTTTATACAAGTTTATTCCAAACAATACTATCGAACAAATGAAGTAATAAACTGATATTTAAATTAAAAGCAATCATATATTGGGTTGTAGTGAGTCAATTTACTGCGTCATCTTAAGCTCGGTAATTAGCTCGTCCAGACAATCGTTACTAAATAGCGTCTGACGGTTTATAAATCAGAAGGTGAACTCAAAGTGATGAGTACGTTTATTTGGGACACACCACAAAGCTAAGCGGAGAAGCAATGTGGAGAAGGCTAATGAGCCAACTCCCAGAATTACAATGCGAACGAATGGGCGACGGAAGCGAATGCACAGGAGAAGCGCGTTGGAGAAGGCTAATGAGCCAACTCCAAGAGATAGAGCGTGACTAAGAATATATAGTCAGACAAATATAAGACAGACATGCGACAAGCGAAATAGGCACACATGAATAAAAGCGACGAATAGTTGACAAAGTCAGATGACAAGTGGGAGACGTCATGTAAGCTCATACAAACCAGACAATAATAAGAGAGAATGGTACATATAAATTGTTGCAATACAAATGCCTTGGTTAAATAAATTAATCAAAAGGGCTTAACCAAGTTAGATGTAAACGAACTGGAATATATGTGGAGGCACTACAGGGTTAGTAAGTCGACAGTGAAATAGAATCCCTCACTGATAACATAAGATAGACATTGTAGTATACGGCACATTAACTGTAGCCTAAAAATATCAACCATTCGACTTTGACCTAACAAGTGTGTCTCATTGTACTTACTCTGAGAGCCAAAAAGCGACAGTCTAAATCCATTTTCCTTTCATTTTTGTATTCTGTTGAGTAGTTCTGAAGTAAGGTGAAACAGACCAATTGTTCGTTTGTTTACGTGATCATATTTATTCTATTTAAAACATTTAATCTGAAATTCACAACTGATTAGATTCATGTTTCAAGGTTGACAGAAATATTACTTCCATTGCATACTCTTCTATTCATAACAAATTGATAATGCTGAAATACTAATCGCAAACGAAAAATAAACGGAAATATTTTTATCGCATCAATTTCTGAAACTCTTCAATAGATTGTGGTCAATACTTTTATTGAGTTGGGAATTTAACGTGACTTTGTCAAACAACTAACTATACAACCAAAAGTTTGGTTTCAAAGAAATTCAAAATCATAAACGTTTTGTGAAGTGTATCTCTTTGTATTCTTCAATGATTACAAAGATAATTTACAGTCACATTTGTTAAACGTTTCGAACAAAATAATTTAAGGCTTATTTACATTTACACACTGTCTATACTCAACAGTCAATTAATCATTTAAAGTACTAAATTCAAAACGTTAGACTATTCTAAGAATTTCATATAGTTATTTTTATGTATTTTTTATATTCTGCAGATGGAATTTCCCAAATGTGGAGTAGATCTTCGTTATATCGCAGCTCAAGGCCCGTTACCGAATACTTATGGTGACTTTTGGCAAATGTGCTGGGAACAACAAGTTTGTCTGATCGTTATGCTGACAGCTATAAGCGAACGCGGTCGAGTAAGTTTTATTCATGATTTAGCGTTTTTTGGTGGTCCACGATCTGATTCCATTTTTCACGAACAAATAAATACGCTATGAAATAAATCTTTCCTTTGGTGTCTGAATAACATCACGGCAATTAAAAGCCCAATATGGTTTATATTGGGTGCACTTACTTCATAAATTTGCGTAAGCCGACAAACAATAGAATCCCGAACAAAGCGACGTGAGGCGGAGAAGACGAGTTGAGTATTTATGGAGTCAGAAAATAATAAGCTAGACGTGTAACAAACGAAACAAGCAATGCACACACACATACTCAAATCAAAACAACCAAGATCTTTAGCAAACAATTGATAAGGTCAAAGGATATGTGAATTGTAACTTGGATAGAAAAGGTTAATTAGGTTGACCAAAAGCTAGGACAAGCCATGTGAGTAAATCATTTATAAATGTCATAGTCCACAACATTAACTGAACCATTCATCTCCTTTGATCCTTTAAAGAGTCAAATTACAGAAATATTTGATTTTGAAGCCAGCTGATTAATTTTGGTATACTGACTTAATATTTATTAACTGACGTTTTTTAATCTAATCGAAATCGTTAAACAATCTACACTGGACCATTATTGAAAACTTGGAAGCACTAAACGGCCTTTTGGGTTCTAGTATAGGACTCCTCAGCAGTTCGCATGCACAATGTCATGGATTGGTTTAAGTTTTGGATACCTGCAGACACTAGCTGAGTGATCTAGAAGCTAAGGGCACGCGCGCGGCACCTAAGGTCCTGTGTTCGGTTCCTGCATGCAGAATTGTAGATGTGCACTGCTAGGAAGTCCCATACTGGGACGAATCCGCCGTCCAGTGTCCCCAAGTTTTCAGTGATGGTCTAATGTTAATCACTTAGTGATTTCCATGAAACTCAGCAATCTGCTCAATGCACTACTTTAAAATCTAGTTTTACATTAATTACATCCTTTTATTTTAAATTCCACACCATATTTTGGCAATGTGACTTATTTATACAAAGTGAACTTAGGATCAAGTTGATTATTTCCAAAACATTGTGTTTAAGTTAACATTTGCTTGACCTTGCCACGGTGCGGGCAGCAGAGAAGTGACATTCGCCCTCATACCAACAACAGCACAGAGGACCAAATTGGCCACAATCAAATTCTTCCTCCACCCCCCAATAACTCTCTTATCTTCAGAACCGACTCTTCTCACATTCTTTTATCACCACGTTCCGCTACTGCATACGAAGCGGGTTCACGAAACGTTATTTCTGGTCTCCTGAAACCCCGTGCTAGACTACATGTTAGAGCTTTTAATGTGCGGAGTTGTGTCAAATAGGGCGACAGGCTCCCTTAGCTAGGACTTTAGAATCTCGCGCTATCGATTTAGGCTGCGTCTCCGAAACGCGTATACATGATCCCAGTAAAATCATTAATTTGATTTCACCATGTCACTTTTGACAGAGGCCTGATGAGGTAAAATATGAGGTTTACACAAAGCTTACTAGCTTTCTTCAAAGAGTTAAGCACTCTAATATATTAATAGTCGCTGGTGACTTCAATACTCAAGTAGGTAGACTAAGGGAAAGGGAAAGACAGCTGGAAGTAGCTCAAAAAACAGATAATTATGACCGTCTGCTGCAGCTATGCTTAGATAATCTCCATTTTCTACCAAATACTAAGTTTAAGCACAAGGATATGGTGACCTCCAAAGTCGTCCAAATGTTGGATCCAGCTAGATCAGTCACCAACGAGGAGACTCGATTGAAGACTATGGCTCATTTTGGAGCATATATTTAGATTTAGCTCATGCTTTAGTACGAGAACGTATTTTTCTGAGGCTTACTAGACGTTAGAAAGACATCAAGGAAAATCCTTGTGAGTTATCCATCTCCTGATCAAAAGACTGGTCTCCTGAGCAGCAGTTCGCTCCGTCTTACTATGAAAAATGGCGAGTAAGAATAGAGGATATTCGCAAGTTACAAGTGTTCGATCATAGGTGTCTTCAAAACATTGCTCGTATTATCCTGGAACCATCGAGTAGCAATGCTAGGATTAGGAATGGGGTGCTAGGAAAACATGGCAATTCAACTGATGAAGTCTAGATCTTCATAAACTAAGATAGTTAGTATATTTGTTACGCCTGCCCAACTACTGACTGCTCCGAAGAGCGATATTGTCTGATGTAGGGGTAGGCTGGAAGAAAGCTAGGGGTGGCCAGACTAAAACATGGAACAAATCTATGAAGTCATTGACAAGTGGATTGAGCCCTGTTGGTAGATGTAGACTATCTGGCTGGGGTCCACGAGGCAAGCGTAACCATTGGTTAGAGATTTTGAATGACATTACTCAAAGTAGTTTGCAATGGTGCAGGTGCCCCCATTCTTTGTCTTCTCTCATATTCTAATCACCTTTGTTTTTCCCTTTTTAAACTTATTTCACTGGATTATACTTCTCGAATATCATCTTCGAACTCCAATCTTCTCTACTACCGCCAATACTTTTGCAACATCTACCACTATGTGATTTGATTTGACAATTGCGTCTCTGTACTTAAAGGGTATGGCGACTTAAACTGATATACGGATGTATGAAGTTCTATGTTTCATCTGACTGACTGACTGACTGACTGGAACATTTGCTTACTCCGTCGATAACAACAAACTCAGCAAACGATTTCTAATAAAAATTAACTAGACAAATCCTACCGCATGTGATAACAAATAATCCTTATTGATATCGCGAAATAGATGCATTATACAATGAATAATAAATAAAGATAAATACAGATAATTGAAGAAGAACTCGCAAAGAGTGATTCTAGCGACACCATACGAATGAATAAATCTAAAGATTTTAGTCTCGATCTTTGATTGATTTGGACAAGTAGTTCGAATTCGGTTAACTCAAAAATCAGCCTCCTAAAGTAATGACATTGGTCGAAGAATTGTTGATTGTAGTTCTCGACAGCTTGACATTCAATATTCACTTACAATCACACAGAAAGTGAATCGAAATAATTACCCTTAAGCTTAGCTGTGAGCATGTTACGTCTTTGTCTCTTTAATCAGAATCCATTGTTTCATATTTTTATTCTTGATATGATAATAATAATAATAATATTTTTCTTCTCAACCACGGAATAATCGTCTACGCATTGATAAAAAGTCCTTTTTTCGAAAAATATCATAAATTAAATTGTTGTCTTAAGACAGGCAAAAATGACTATCTCACATACCTGTCGGTTGAAAAACAACGCTAACATATCACTTCATTCAATGAATATCCATACAAATAGTTTTTTTAAAAAAAAGTTATTTTCTTAATAACTTTGTAATATATTCAGACAACGTGAGTAAATTAGTTTTTTTTGTTACAAAATTCACGTCATCTATTTCTATTACTAATAATAATAATAATAATAATAATAATAATAATAATGTTGAAATTTGCATTTCTATCAGTTTTCGATGAAATAGAAAATACCAAAAAATTAAAATTCCTAAAAATAAACAGAATCCAATTTTGTCTTGTTTTTGTTTTTGTTATTCATGAAAATGATGATGATCAACGTTTGATTGTTCGAATGAATTGACGTCAGTATTTTCGATATCACTTTTTTTCTTAAGACTTCAAAAGTATCGATTAATATTTTCAGAGTAATTGGAATTGTAAGTTTATTGCCAATAATCGATGAAGTCTACCGATAGGATAAGTAAAACATAAACCAGTGAAGCAACATGGAATGATTGTTCAATATTGTAGGATGAATGCACTAAAGTTGATAGTTCAAACAACTAAATTTTGAATCAACCATTTTGAATTTGAATTTTTTTCAATTTGAAAAATTATTGAAAAATGATACAGTTGCATTAGATTGAAAATTATGAGACATTTGCAAGTTAAATGAAATCAGTCACTTTCAATCTTTAAATAAATAAAAAAAATCACAACACTTTTTTTAAGTTCTTTTATGCCAGCAGTTGTAACTTACTTACTTACTTACTTACTTACGCCTGTTACCCCCAATGGAGCATAGGCCGCCCACCAGTTTTCTCCAACCAACTCTGTCCTGGGCTTCCTTTTCCAGTTCTTTCCAGTTTTTGTTCATTCTTCTCATGTTTTTCTCTCTTTTCTCAGCGTAATGTGTTCCTTGGCCTTCCTCTTTTCCTTTTGCCATGAGGGTTCCATGTGAGGGCTTGTCTTGTGACGCAGTTCGGTGCTCTTCGTAGTGTGTGTCCTAACCACTTCCACCACTTCTTCCTGCTTTCCTCCTCCACTGGAATCTGGTTTGTTCTCTCCCACAGTTCGTTGTTGCTGATGGTGTCTGGCCAACGAGTCCGAAGTTTTTTGCGTAGACAACTGTTCATAAACACTTGTATCTTCTGGATGATGGCTTTCGTAGTTCTCCAAGTTTCCGCTCCATATAGTAGAACTGTCTTGATATTTGTATTGAAAATCCTGATTTTGGTTTTGGTTGAAAGTTGTTTGGAGTTCCAGATATTTTTCAACAGTAGAAATGCAGCACTTGCTTTGCCAGCAGTTGTTACTCTACTTTAACTGAAGGGAACCCGTATTCCCATTTGAACTACATAGTTACATAGACAAACAACAAGTTTTTCTCAAGCAAGTAATTGTTCAGTTGAGATATAACAGCGAATATCAATTAACTTCAATAAACAATATGAAATTGTCTCTCATTAATCAAACCATACAATAATAATCCGCTTAATATTAGATATTGATTGATTCACTGTAGGATTTAGTAAATATAGAAATGATACCATCAAAACAGTTTATTAATTGTCAACTAGTAAATGGCAATCGAAATGTTTTTTTATCTCCTCTACTTTCACATTAAAAGAACACATGATACAAAAGTTATCACTGTCTACATTACCTGCAATTAAATGTTCTTATCAATTACGATTAACTAGTCACTAAGTAGTGACTATCATCAATCAAGTTATAGTGTAACCACTAGACTTGATGACTCGACTTCGAGCACATTGTGTAAAGATGTAAGATGGCTTTTTGGAAGTAGTTGAAATGAAAGCCTGGGCCTACGATTTGAACTTATTGGTATTCTTGAGGGAACCCAGTTTCACAATCATATATATTACCACTAGACTATCTGAGCCATGACTGATCTCCTATAGGACAGAGATGTATCATATTTCCTAGCTTGGAAAAAAGTATGTAAAAATTCAGTATTTTTAATGAATAGCTATTTCTGCCTCTGTTTTTTGCTATTAAAGCTAAATATGATATTTTATTTAAATATTAATTTATTAAAACAAAATAGTTACCATATGGTTTAAAGTAAAATGGTTGTATAATTTTTGTCAATAAAATTCTATTTAATACCAGCATATTTGATTTCAACACACATGGAATTTATATCATTCTTTTAAAAATTGTATCTACCTTGTACATTGATTATTTTAAAATGAAATTACATTTGGTCAATAGATAGAATGATTCTACTGTAAATACAATGATGAAATTTTCTAATGAAAAATACAAATAATAATAAATTCTACTTGAACAATATTAAAATGTTGTATTTTGTTTTTCATCTAACTCACTGACTGAATGCTCTTTTTCTCTTCACTAAATCTACAATTATGAGATTTTAAATGTTTGTTCTGTGTGTGTGGGGGGCGTGTGGGAGAGAGAGAGAGACGGGGACATTGACAGAAAACACAAAATAAGCATTAACTATTCATTAAGATTATATCAATGATATCAATTACATAGTTTATGTTTTTATACAATTCCATACTAATCATTTTAAAATATGAATATATATAAAAAGTTACTTATAAAGTATGATTGGCATTATCGTAGATTATATAAATAAGTTGGAGACTTCAGTCATCTGGACAAATAAAAATTGATCATTTTTAAAAAAGAATAATGAATGTTAAGTGCTGGACACTCGCTTTTCGACCTCATTTTCATAAACAACACCTCGACCTGTAGGTAGTAAGTAGGACTTCCCTGTTAGCGGCTGTAATACGTGTGTCCATTTGAGAGCATTTCAAAAGAGAGAGAGAGAGTGGACTTTCTCCACTATCGGTCATACTATGGTATTTAGGAATACAAATCCGTTACTCAATCCTCTTCCGCTTATAGTATATTTTTAAACATATTAAGATTGTACCCTATACTGCTGTGTAAATAACTCATAAATTTGAACTGTATGGTTAGAGAATTCTACATGTTGTATTGTTTTCTATCGTAACTACCAAGTGAGAGCAACTGACCAGTGTTAGCCTGAAGAAGCTGCCTCTAAAAAATATGTACCACAAAATTACATACTGAAGTTTTGTGCAATTATAAATATCCGAATATCGGTTCAGGTAGTTCTTGTTGTTACATTTTTTTCTAACTTTGGGAATGGATACATCTCTCTTGAATTCCACTTTCAGATCAATTTTCTATAAACTTGACAAACAAACAAATTATTCACTTTGATTTATAATCCTTTTCTGTCTATTTTCGGCTTAAATTTTCATAGGCAAAATGTCATCAATACTGGCCAGATCTCAATCATACAGTAAACTTTTCTGTTTCTTCCAGTCCTAGGATTTCACAGTCACGTAGTTCGACAGATCTACAGTTGAAAACTGTACGAGAGGAGGTAATCTCTATAATTATTTCATTCGGATTTCATAGTCACCATTCAACTTATTATTTTCATTGTATACTTTCCTTTAAGATCAACTTGTATTTAACATTGAACAATATTTGTTTTAATCATTTATTATAATTCTATATAAGATAAGAATCGGTTTGTTCAACAAAGAGGAACTTGACCTTCTAAAAATATGTTTATAATTATCGGATTTCAGTTATTTCTAAGAATCTATATACACTGATTAATCTTTTGTTGGTAACTAATATCCTGATTGAAATGTATTGGTCAAGTCATGATATACCCATTAATCTAATTGATACAGCACACTTTGTCCTATATTGAGTGGTTATCGGTAATTGTTCTGAAGTCCAACATCTGGATTTTGTATTTGTCCACAATCGCAATCAAGGCATATCTTCAACTCTACTCAGTAGGGTTCAATCACTATCAAAGAGTAGACAGTATAATGCATTAGGGAAAAGGCTAGTTTGACCGGAGGGGTTAGTCGTTTGATTTTGAACATTCTTTGTATTGAAATACATTAATTATTGTGAGAAAAGTATTCTCTTTGTCTTAGCATATCATAAATTTACAGTGAAACTGCATTTCCATTAAGTGTTGGTAGCGATTCAATCAGTTGAAAAAACAAAACATAAACATAAATTGCGAAATCGACAAACAAGTAGATGTTACCAGTACTTTGTGTTTATTTAATGATCTATCTAAGACTCATTCATTTTGGCTGCCTGATTCCTTCCGAGTACACTTTTAACAAATCCCAGTTAAAACAAACTAACTGATTGTCTGACGTTTAAGTCATACTAGTCTTCAAAACACAAAACCTGGTGAATTAGTCTTAGTGCATTTCACTTATCATCGTTGTTTACAAAAATACATCTTATTTAATTATAACATCTTTGTTTATAAACGATTTTGATAATTGTTTTAATTACTTGCTTTCTAATAGAAAAGCTGTTAAGATTTTCATTACATGAATGCAAAACAATTAGTATGTTGTGTGTACACTGGCGAACGAATGAGCGACTGAAGCTAATCGTATGAACAAGTGCTATAAGACAAAATCGTCATGCGAGCGCTGGAAAGCAGGCAAGCGAGTGAATAGGCGAATGAACGGATGAAGCTATTTGGAGAGGGCTAATGAGCCAATTCCAAGAGATAGAGCGTGACTAAGAATATATAGTCAGACAAATATAAGACAGACATGAGACAAGCGAAATAGGCACACATGAATAAAAGCGACGAATAGTTGACAAGGTCAAATGACAAGTGGGACATGTCATGTGAGCTCATACAAACCAGACAATAATAAGAGAGAATGGTAGATATAAATTTTTGCAATACAAATGCCTTGGTTAAATAAATTAATGGAAAGGGCTTAACCAAAATAGATCTAAGCGAACTGGAATATATGTGGAGGCACTACAAGTAAACATGAATAATACCTAGAAAAGTAAAACATTTTTTGTTCATTGAGAAAACTGCTTACATACATTATTTCTGATAAAATATACTGTTTGTCAAGTTGACAACCATAAGTCACCATATCCATAGATATATCAACTATTTGTTCAAGTCTAGTTGATCAGCAACCGTCTACTTTATTGTTTGAGAATGCTCATGATCACTGCGTGATTTTTGAGTCACTTAAGTTGAACTTGGTTTTCCTCAAGAAATGGTTTCGGTTGAAAAATTATTTAGAAACCAGAAAGCATCAATTGACTATTTGACCTTATCAACGACCTCGTATAGAATCAATTTAAGGGTATTAAGTTTTCGCATTAAGGATAATTTCAATAATTTTGAAAAATACTGCAACTTTCACTTATCATAAACCTTAATTCTTTAACGCTAAGCACTATTTGTTCAATCTTTGTATGATTCGCTGAAAAACAATTTTATTTAACATGATTTTTCGGTTAAAAACCTAATTATTACATTCCTCTGAGACTGGATTGTGGATGCTAACTACTGAGGAAGTTCAGTGAAAGGATGAAACAGCTATCCAGTGCTTTCTGGTTTCCAATCGGGAATTAGTTATAATCAATTCGTAATTTGAAAACTATGAAAATTCAATTTTTTAACAGACTTTTACATATCATTGATTCTATAGTCTAATTTTATCTATATAATTTATGATGTTATCTATACTAATCGACATTCTTTACTGTTCACTTCAAATTAGATTACTACTGATATTGCCTATCGAGAATTCGATATCACTCAAATTCCTTCACATCGTGCCTCTTTACAATCAGTGTTAAGAAAACAGATGGAAACACGTCGTATTTCACAACTTCAATATATCAGTTGGCCAGATCATGGTGTACCAAATGATACTGATCAACTTATATCATTTGTAGAACAAGTTCAACGAATTCGTGGCAAAACTCTAACACCAATAGTTGTACATTGTTCTGCTGGTATCGGTCGAACTGGTGTATTAATTGCTATTGAAACATCAATTAATTTAATGGGATGTAATTATCCAATTAAACCTATAGAATTAGTTCAACGAATGCGTGAACATAGAGCAATGCTTATTCAAACTACTGTAAGTAAATAAATAAATCCTTAGTATTATTATTATTATTTTAAATTTAATTAAGATATTTTTTTCTCATAGAAAAAAGTAATTGACCTGTATAAAATTCAATTAACTACCTGATAACCGATATAAACAAACCACTTAATTCATTTAATGAAACTAATTTAATATTTTTGAAACTTTAAACTCTTAGAATTTTATTGCATTCGACAAAGTGAACCAAATTATAAACTGCAAAGATCTATGGGATATAAGTAATTTTAATCAATGTAAATAAATACATTTCTTTGTAATTAACTTATGATTAGTCACTTTCCTTTTTTATATCTGTTTCATAAAATCCAGTATAAATGTTGAAATACAAAATACCCTCTGTTTTAAATAACAATCAGCTGTACTTATTTTCATTGGGAATCCAAATTTCTCATTACAAACCTCTAACAACAATTTAGAAATTTAATCCGATTATTCAAGTATCCAAACGGAGGTTTGGACTGAGGTATAACTGTCTAGGTAGGTTAGATACGCGCTTTTGCCCAGTTGAAATCAAAACAAGTGATTTGGGTAAATAACGGTTCTAATATATTCATCATAAATATAAATATACATCATTACCTTAACAATATTACCACAGCTATTCCACCAACAATTTTCCAATTATTCAAATAGATGATATTCTCTCCCTCCTGGATTCGTTCGACAGATAATATTTGGTTGCTTTATAACACAGAGTGTTTCCTATTCTGGAAGAGTGATTCACTTCACAATCAAGATGCACAATTCCAGTCAGTACAAGCAACCTAATCAAAAGAAAAATCAATACGGCTGTCGCCATGACTAAGTATCAGTTTAAACAACATAAATGCAGTTCAGAAAGGGACATAGAGACTTAGTGATGGCACAAAAAATAGAAACCGTAATGAAACACAAATATTATCATCTGAAAACGGAATCGAACAGATAAACAAAATGTACAACTGAAGGAATCAATAAGGACAAGTTAAAAATGTATACATGGAGGGATTTTCACAAACAAACCCCTTCAAAAATCGATCTTACATTATCGATGATAATAATTACCTATTTCAACAAAAATAGTTAATCAACTCACTGTGTTCACAACTGAAATACGATTGAATATAAATTAAAAAGACAGATGATTAAACGACAGTTCATAACGTTTTTGAGTTGACTTTCTTTATCAACTCATATCAATTTGAGAACAATTAATAATTGACGAATATTGATTAACTCAAGCTTACTGGTTTGAATCTTTTACTTTGTAGTCTCCCTACTTGATCGTATTAAACGTCATTACCAGTTCAAACTAGAACAGAACAATTATTCAGAACTAAATGATTTCCACGGGCTCATCATGCTCTTCCCCTACTCACTAGTATCAGTTCATTATTGTAAAATTACTTTTGAAATATACACCGGAAATATGTTTGACCGTAATATTCACAGTTCATCAATATTATGTAATTGAACAGTCAAATGAATTCAACTTGTCAATTTTAAACTAAACTAAACTAAATAATTTATTTCAAATAATTTCATTTTAATCAACTTCACTTTTATCAATTAAATGAACTGTTTTGTTTAGTTTTTCTTTGAAAATCAACTCAATACAGATAACCTTGTATATAATTCTATTTCTTTAATTTAGGGTCAATTTCAATTTGTATGTGAAACTATTCTCAAGGTCTTTCATCGTAAGTTTTGTTTGTATATAAGATTAACTTGGATCGAAATTAATTATCTTAAAATTAATTAATTAATTTTTTTATCTTAATATAAACACTATCAATGTGTGTGCTCATAAGTAATTTTTAACGAGTTCATTGGACTTCGTTTAAAAAACTTTATATATCAGTAAAAATGATACTGATAGTTGAAAATCTCCCAAAATAATTAATAAATAATATATATTAGACTTTTCTGAAGTCATTGTTACAAAAATGTTGAAATTAAGCGTAATTCATTCGTTTTCTCTTATTTTTTCCCTTCTTATTTCAGCTTTACTCAGCTACTCAATAATTCCATGTATTAAACAACCCTTGACATTATTCTTTCATTTCTGAATTCGGATTTTTCTCTTCTAGTTAACCTTAAAATAAACAATTACTTGAATGATTTTTTTTTAATTAATGCAAACAGTTTGTGTAGATTGTTGATTGTCCATAGTTTGCATCAAGGATTGATCTGAGTTAAAGGACTATTGAAAATAAAGAATCGTTGGACAGCTGTTTCATCTTAGTTTGGAGTTGGTTATAAGATGAAAAAAACATTATTATTGGTTGTGACCAGTGGTCACACGTTATTGAGAATCAACTAAAACTAGAAGTACCAACCTTTGGCTGAAAACTCAGCAGTATCGAAGTTAACCAATCGCCATGGATTCGATTTTTACTAGGATTTTGGTTCCTTACCACTGAGAAATCTTATACTACAATGGAACAACTGTCCACTGTTTCCCTAGTTTCGATTGCTTGTATAAATAAAGTCAACCAGTGATGAGAAATTCAGAATTCAACAATCTCCACAATACACAATAATTATATCCGATAAACTGACTTATTTTCTTCTTCTCGACTTAAAATGTACTAATCTTTAATCTTCGATTTTTATCTTCATCTTATTGCATTATCTTGTCAGTGTTTTTCAGTGTAATTATGTTCACTTAGTAGTATACCTGCTTAATTTGCTTTTTCTCTGCCTCCCTTTTCCTGTCTACTTACTTACATTACTTTATATATTGTACATAGAACTTAGTTTTATTCGCAAATTAGTGTTAATAACTACATTAGTTTTAGTTCATTTGTTGATTTTTTCGCGATTTTTTTTGTCTTCTCGTATTCATCCATGATTATTGTAGAATAAGATCGCTTCCTCTAAACATTTTCATTTGTTTATTAGGTGATTGTAGGCAATAGACAATCAACTCTTCATCTAGGTTTAGTACGAGTTGCCTGCAAAGTCTACTTACAATCTTGAAGGAATTAACGTTTCTTATGGGATTCGATCCTTCATTATTCAGCTTCTTAGTTTGAGACGTTATCGTTGTGGTATAACTAACTATAAGCCACGACTGAACCCTTGCATTATTTTCAGTATATACTACTTGCGATGTCGAGTCATCCAGGTAAATGAACACAGTACAACTGGATCAATAGAATTCGATCAATACCGGAAGACTAAACATACATACAATCGGTCATAACTCAATTAGCAATCTGTCCATACTATTTGATTGTTTAGTCCTAAAACTTGTACTTCTAATCACCCATTTAAATTAATAAGCAGTTCAGTAACATAAAAAACATCATTTCAACTTCTTTATACTACCAACTAGTTTTTAACTTTCTTACTTATGAAATCATCAAAATTAAAATGTTTATTTATGGTTTTTCACTTTCTGAAGAACATCAATATAAGTTAGTCAAAATATGATTATAAAGTCCACCAATAAAATACATCCTCGTGATGTGCTAGCTGTTAATAACGTCTCCCTTAATAATGTTCCCTCCTATTGATGTGTTTCTTTAGCACGCGTACTTTGATTCACATCCTTATTATAGGATACTATACACATATATATAAAATCAGTCATCAGAACTTTATCAATAAATAGTGAAACTTCATTTCTTACTTTAAATAAACATGACTTTCCTGGCTGATTTCTATCAAACATGATCACGTCAAAGCATACACATAAATTTCACGGAAATTATTGATTATATTCTCCAACCTATTCTGTATAGATTTTCAAAAGCATTAAATTTCATTTGCTTATTTCTTTCTTCACTTATTATAGGCAATCATGCTGAAAATTTGCTCAAGGATTCCACTGCTATGACAAGTCAATCTTGATAAATTGTATACAAAAAAGAAAAAAATAATTCAAACAAACATAAGATGAGAAATTTTTATACAGAACAACATTTCGAAATTCTGCCACTGGTACCTACTCTCAATTGAAATATCTATTTGTTTACAACTATCTACTACATTGTATATCATCATATTGTTAATATTTAGTTTTAATAATTTGTTCCACAGAAAACAGCTTGTTTGTTTGCTTGCTTATAACTGTTGTCCTATGTACTGGTTCAATATTATTTCTTGTTAATGTTGCGTTTATTTGTTAAATGAAAATAGCATTCCTGTTCAATTGTTTCAATAGATTTGTTTTTTTTCTCTTCTATTGTTTCAATGAACAAAATCTTTTCGGGCTTTTTTTTGTTAGATGAAAAAACTTTGCCATTTCCACGTTGTGTTTTCTTTCGGTGATAAAAAATAATGCATTCTTAGACAATCTATTCAATTTAATTAATTTCCAATTACAATTTTGATTTTGTATAATGCACACTATGTGATATTGATTTACATTTTCACTTATAAACTATTGATACCTTGAATTCCATTACATATCTTCATAATTAACCAATGCCTATAATCTATCTACCTATTATTATTAGTTGATGATATCTACACTTTTTGCTATTACATTTTACAAGAGGATGATTATCTCTATCAATATTCTTATTGTTTATTGTTTCTCAGTTGGTCATTGCAAGTAAATTTAATGATATAATAGAGTGAGTGATATGCATTTTCTTTTTTTTCTCCAAGTATAAACTTTCTCTAATTACAAATATTGTTTGCTTCAAATTTTGTTTAAATGATGGATCACTTAGTCGATTTGTGTGTGGTTAATGGAAAAAGAAGAGACAAAAACAATGAATCAACTACTTTCATCATATTCATTTCTGTAGATCCTATACATCAACCATCCTGTTTTTTACTTCCTTTTTCATGTGTATGACGTGGAAATATTATTCACAATTCGAATTATCAATGAATATATATTATTAATTAATTTTAATTTTCATAGATTTCGGTATCTTTTCGTTGGTTTTTTGTTTGTTTCTTTTTTTGGTTCTTGGATCTGTGGTTTGAGATTATTAGCTTCATTTGATTCTTGGTTTTAGAAAAAAAAAAGTGAGAAATTTGTAAAACAATGAAATATGTTTTGTTTTAAATACACACACAGAGAAAGAGATGCACATATAAAAATACGTACATGCACATTTACATACATTAGTACATATTTTCATAAATAATTGCACAAATTTTTTACAATAATAAGATTTTACTTTTTTTTTCTTCCATTCATACCTTGATATACATTAAATAAAAATTTCGTCGAAATTTCACTAATTACTTTATGATTTATGTTTGGTTTTTGGGGCGATGCAAAAGATTTTCGATAGATCAAAAGATTTGATGTGTTTAATAAGAGTAGATATTGACTAAGTATTTGGTGTACTTTCATTTTGTACCGTTGAGAAAAATCAATGAAAACAAATGCTTTCTGATTGGTCATACAATCAAGAGAAACAGTGAGTAATGTCGAATCTCTTTTGAACTTTTGAATAACAAATTCAGTAGAGCGATGATAACTTGGGCGATTTAAAACAATCTGAAAGAAACAATCTCATAGCTCAAAGATCTGGGAAATTATATCTGATGTTGACCCTTCAGACTGGCGAGCATTGTTAGCTTCCATACGACTCCTGTACATAATGGCATGCTAGACTGACTTTTTATGTAATGACTTGCATTTATTTTCTTTCTTCACTAAAACTTAAAGCCAGTAAAATAAAATTTTCGACGATAATAGATACCTCATATCGCCGAGGTGTATAAATTATCCGTAATTTTCACTTCATAATGAAATGACAGATCTGCCGATTCCAAACAGTAACGATACGTTTGACGGAATTTCTTATAAGACAAATACTACAAAGTGTTACTTAGAAATTCCATGCAAAATAATGAAAGATGCTATTTTTACTCTGTTAACTTGTCTATGTAACAACGATTCAACTTTGGTTTTTCATACAAATCACTGATCAATAAACAAAATGAAGATATGACTGTTAAAAGTGATTTATCCTATCATTTTGAGAAAATCGAACTTTCACTGACTTTATATTTTTAAGTGTAACAATTTTATTTAGATAGGGAAGCAATTGAAAATATCAAACAAGTTGATGATGATGAATCTATAAAAGAAATCTTTTAAAAACAAACACACTAAGACTACTACCACATAAGCCATTAATACATGTATACATTTCCATTGTTATTATCAATAGATTATGAGTTACTGAAGATTGCATAATAATGAAATTTCTAAAATGAATCTCGATGTGCACTTTTAAATTAGGGCACTGTTATGCATTAATAATCATCCAATCAGGTTAAGAAGTATGTACTAAGTGTGGATTTTTCAAATAGACCAAACATTACATTTTATGGTTAAAAAACTGACTACTGAGCCACATAATGATCTCTGAAATCAATTTTGTTTGCTTTGAGGATCTGTCAGTACCCTCATAAAAATTTAAGTCACAAAAGTGACCTTTGTATATTATGTTCACTTTCATTGTAAATCTTTAAAATTTCTATTTCAGTCACTATTATTACTATAATTCATGACTGCCATTATTCGTTAATGAAACTTTGACATTACGGGTTATTTACACATTTTTGAAACCATGAATCGATTAATGTTAGACCACCATTAGAAAGCTGGAAGCACTGGACGGTCCTTTCGTCCTAGTATGGGACTCCTCAGCAGTGTGCTTGCATGTTTCTAATGGTGGTCTAACATTGATCGATTCATGGTTTCAAAAATGTGTAATGAAACTTTGAGTTGTTCAAACAATTCTATACACCACGGACTGATCTTAGTTATGCAGCTGTTAAAAACTAGAAACCAATGAACGGTAAATCTGCTCCCAACAGTTCTTACCCTCATATCAACCGGGATTCAAAATCAAAACCTCCAGATCTTACGCCTAGTGCTCGACCTCTAGACTACTGAGTTGATATTCACGGGTTTACATTTGTAAATTCAACCAACTAGCAATACTGATTAACCACCATACCATGTCATTGATGCCTCATACCCGACACGGATGAACTGTAGGTTGTTATAACTGCAAACTATTAGCATTCTTTTACACAGTATCATTGATGTGACTCTTGCATCTATGAATGAATACTAGTAGCATATCACTCCAATGAGTTAGGAACTATTAGAAATTCATTTCGATGCTTATATTGAAACTAGTTATCTCAAATTCTATCTCTTTCTTAGGTTCAGTTTCGACTAAAATCACTATTCTTATATGTGAAAAAGTATACAACTAAACGGATACATATCTCAGTTTAATTTCGAATTTATATTTCCACTTAACGTTTTTACAATATCTATATTCCATTTAAATTATTACTAAGAGATACTCGAACAGATTTATTCATCTTCAGTTTCGAAATAATGATGACGATAATGCTTAAATATAAGATGCATGTGATCAGAAACTTGCTGGATATTTAGATGAATTCCACTTGACAATAAATTGACGAAAGAATGTGAACTAAACAAAAGGATCTTGAACATCAATTGTTGAAATAATCTGATCACATTCGTTATGAACAAACATCAGCTAAATAACCGTGAAAAATCGGATAGCCTGTTTCACAAGTTGATGGTATTAGGTGAACAAGAGTCAATCAGCCAAAATGTACATTTATCACTTGTTGTACACACATTTGAGCGGCAGATGAAGGCATACCTTAAGGTCAGTATAGTAAGAAAAGTTCTGAAGATGTGGAAATCCTATTGAATCAGTTGTGTGTGAGTAGTCGGTCGTTATGTTTTTATGTGAATTTCATGATTTGAACATACAGAATATTAAGGAATGATGGTTCAATTTTAGCAGTTAAATTATCTGAGGCCCTAGCTAGAATCTGAGAACTGAACACAATCCTATCTGACTGTTTTCAATCACTGATTGTCTCAGTCTATAAGAAAGGACAAAGATCCTCTTGTGACTATCGCTGAGAAATTAGTTTGACCAATACAGTGTCTAAACTATTGGCTTCAGTAATACTTTAACGACTAGCCGAAGATCGTGAAGAACAGACTCAAAAAACCAGAGTGGTTTCAGACCTGGACGTCGACATATAGACTAAATATTCACACCGACAAGTTCTATGTTGCATCTAATTGACTGACTGACATATCAAAAAGGTTTCCTTCTTCTAGCATTATCTCACACAAAGTTTCTGCTTAGCAGATTTTGATAAGTTTACCCTTTACCCACAATCTAACCTTCCTAATGGTCAGTAAAACTTCCTTAAATTGCTTCATTTATTTAAGCCATAATGGTTGATGAAATCATCTGGGGTGATTGTGATATTGTTGTACATTAAACACCTAAGGCTCTGAAAACACCACACTGCATCCACTCCATTCCGAGTTAAGTAACCTTGTTACTTACACAATCAAATTGTGTACGTTGACCTTTGTGATGATTGAAAAATGGCATAGATTTTAAAAATTTCAGGCTTAAGAATACATGGCCGATAACTTATTATCACTATGCATAGGTCTCAAAAATCCAATTCTCTTGATAATTTAGAACAAAATAATAACAAAAAGATCTCCAGAATAAAATGATTTCACTTGACTGAATTGTATACACTTTGTTTTGTTTTAACTCAGAAAAGTAATGCAGTGAATATAGTCATTCAATGGTGTGAAGCCAAATAACTACTCAAATCACATTTCAGTAACAATACTTTCTTGTGGAACAATTTTTCGATAAGACAAACGGGAAGACGTAGCCGATCTGAAAAGTGTTATGCATTTGCGCTATACATTTTGAACAATTTGATTACACAAATACTTATCAAGATATTTTGTGTGAAAATTGATAAAATTTCAATTCAATAAAAATTCGAATTGTGATATAAGGCGATAATTGTAAATGAGGAGAGAAATTTAGCGTAATAAA